GATTGTTCCTGACAGCACCAATTTATTCCTGAGAGAATGTTGAGACCAAAGACACTCCACTCGGAGTTTGTTTTCTTCTTAGCACTGTTGGCTTACTGACAAGAAACTGCCCATACCTCAACTACTGACAAAGTACATGGTATCTTGAAATAGATAAGTAGGACACAAGGAAAAAGACTGCTAAATCTTGCCAGACAGGGTAAGATGGTAATGAAAAATATTCTGCCTCTGAAAATGGTCTCTCAGAACCCTAGGACTTAGCCAAAGTTGGTTGCTTCAACATTGCAAATGAGACTTTGGGTGATTGCTCAAGTAGCTAATTGTCTCCATCCTAGATTGCTTGCTTTGGAAGCTGCTTGATTGTAGGTCCTGCCTGCTCAAGTAAGATTATCTCCATTCTCAGGACTTCTATGAGGTTGAAGATTATATAGTCCTAGTAACTGTCCTCTTATGATCTAGCTATAAGACATGTCCTGTACAAGACTTAGACTTCTTAGGATATAATATTTATTAAAACATTTAGCATATGTTCCTTGCTTAATATTGTCTATGCTGGTTGTAATTCTAATTATAATTGATATCTGTTCCTAGTGTATATAGTTTTGTATTGGGTGTGGAACTCTCTGATTTAAATGAGAAAGGGAGGGGCTATGGGAGCACATTTTGCTCCTTCAGTTAATAGCCTTTAAGATACCAGCCCACTTAAACATGGACTCTTACACTGAAAAAGCAGCTGTAAAGTATGCGCTCCCTCTCTTTCTTAAGGCTCTCATTTCCAGCTGCTAGAATCGATTCCTGTTCCCCATTCGTTCAGAGGACTGTGGTCTAGGACATTAATCTGTAAAGTTCCCCCAAATAAATAACTCTTTATTATTCATAATTATGAACTAGTGTTGGATTACTTTGAGACTGCGGCCATCAAAGGATATTGAACATATCCTTAAGTGTCTTTCAGCCATTTCAGATTCTTCTGCTATGACTTCTTTGTTTAGTTCTCTACCACACTTTTTAATTGGATTATTTGGAATTTTGATGTCAAATTTCCTGAGTTCTTTCTATATTTTGGTGATCAGTCCTCTGTCTGATGTGGGGTTGGTGGAGATATTTTCCCACTCAGTAGGCTGCCTTTTTGACTTATGGACTGTGTCCTTTGCTTCACAGAAGCTTCTCAGGTTCAGGAGGTCCCATTTATTTATCATTGCTGTCACTGTCTGTGCTCCTGGTATTTATTTAGGAAGTAGACTCCTGTACACATGCATGGAAGGCTACTCACCACTTTCTCATCTATCAGGTTCAGTATGGTTGGATTTATATTAAGGTCTTTAATCCATTTGGACTTGAGTTTTGTGCATGGGCTAGATATGGATCTATTTGCATTCTTCTACATGTTGACATCCAGTTATGTCACCACCATTTGTTAAAGATGTGTTCTTGTATTCATTCTATATTTTTAGCTTCTTTGTCAAAAACCAGGTTTCAAAGGTTTGTGGTTCGATAATATTGATCAACTTATCTGTTTTTATGCCAATACAAAGCTTTTGTCATTACTGTAGCTCTATAACAGAGCTTATGTCAGGGATAGTAATGGCTCCAGAAGTTCCTTTATTGTACAGGATTGTTTTGGCTCTCCTGGGTTTTTTGTATTTCTTCTCCTACCCTGCCTTATTACTCCCACAACATTTAATGGTACTTGTTCCCTTTTCTGCTTTTAACACGTTGTACCACTGTGTTCAATCGTCCTTGCCTTGAAACTTTCCTTCGTAAAGTCCTCCTGACTTTTATGGGGATTCCAAATAGAATACATAGATTCCACCCATCATAAACAAATTATAAACAGCGTGTGACATTTGTCTTTTTAACTCTTCTCACTCGGAATGATTATTCCCAACTTTAACTGCAATTTTTATAATTTCATTTATAACACATAAATAATATTCCTTTGTGTAAATGTACAACATTTTCGCTCTGCAGACATCTGGCTTTGGAATGGAACACCAATAAACAAGGAGGAGAATTTATCTCTACAGTAGGATATTGAGTCCTTTGGGTGGACGCCCAAGGGTGGTACAGTAAGGTCATGTAGTGAATCTGGTCTACCTTTTTGAGGAAGCTCCACAGTGATTTCCATAGTGATTGCACTACTCACACTCCCACCAGCAATGGACACACATTCACCACCCCCACATCCTTGTCAACATTCTCCACTACGTTTTTATCCTCCCAATTTATGTTAGGTGAAGTTGAAATCTCAAAGTAGTTTAATTAGCTAAGGAAAGTTGAAAACTGAACATTTAAAAAGCATGCATTTCTCAGTCATTTGTACCTCTTCTTGTTAGAACTCCTTTTTCCTGGGTGTGTTTGGGTATTTTGTCTATATGTATGTCTATGTACCATGTATGTGACTGGCACCTGAAGAGGCCAGAGAAGTGGACCAGATCCATGCCTCAATTTTAATTGAATTGTTTGTGGTTTTTCTTGTTTAATTTCTTTAGTTCTTTGTATATTTTACATGTTTACCCACTGTCAGATGCACACATAGTACACCTTACAGAATGAGACAATAAGGCCCCGATGCTGATGAAATTTCAGACTTGACTCACTGAACCTGCAGAGATGAAGCTGGTCCTCACCTGGAGCCTCAACTCCACTGATTAGCTTCCATGCTGCCAGAAGGGGCCATGAATCTACTGCAGGAGAAAAGTCATCACCACTTTGACCCAGCTCTGGATCCTGTGAACACAGTCATTACCAGCTGGCAACACAGGTCCACGGGTGCAGTAAGGACAAGTGACATGGGAATGAACAACTACCTGCTGGCTCGATTTAAGGTCCACTGTTGGAGTTGGACCCCATACCTGGTGTGTTACAGCTCTGAGAGGAAAGGCTTTCCCAGGTGAAGTATTGTAGCTCTGAGAGCGAAGTTTCCCAACTGCAAGTGTTAATGTTCTGAAAGGGAAGGTATCCCGAAGGTGGGAGCCAAGCAAAGTCATAGCTCACAACAAATCATCTCACACAAGAGATTCATTTGTGGGGAAAAACCCCAGGATGGTGGGTACCTTTGCTCAGCTAGAAGCAGCAGAAAACTGAGCAGAAGACAGGGTTTTTGTACAGTTTCTTGTAGTTGAAGATTTCCAGGGTGGAGATTGATTAGTGGGTTTTCAATTTCTGAGCTTAGCCACCTGCACCTGGAGGGGATGGGTCCGGCTGTTAGGGTATTATGTGGACAGAGCCTGGCATTTCGGGGTCTTTAGGGGTGTGGTGTGCCCACTCCTGTGTACCTCGAGGAGCTTACACCTGGCATCAGCAGCAGGGGCAAGACACATCACAGCCTCTAGGGAAGAACCTACTACAGTTATTCTGTTAAATAGGTATACTATTTAACCAATTTCTAACAACTTAACATTACACTCGTAGATTAGCTCACCTCTCAACCCTCATCACAGAAGCCTCTTTTTGCAGTAGATGGCAATGAACACGGAGACCTCCAGCTCCTCTAGAGACAGAGAAGAAAAGGAAGAACTCTCATCTCTAAATCGGTCAATGATATCACAACCTGCCCTTCCAAGGCTCGGAGATCATTGTGGAAGAGAGGAGAGAGAGTTTGTAAGAGACAGCGACCATGGATTACAACAAGGAAACCATGTTTTTCAGAAACAGGGAAGTGGTTCAGATTACTTCACAGCCCTTGTGATTCATGAAACCTGCACACGCTCAAGCCGGACAAAATCCCAGCACTAAGGAATTTTCATAAAGTTGCGTCTTCAGTTAAAGTGCTTAGAGCAATCTATAGCTGTGGGCAGAGAAGTGTCCGTTTTAAGGATGTGGTCCCTGCTGGGTAAAACATCTGACCTGTCAATCACACCTGATAGTATCTTGGCAGTACAGATTGGACTTGATGGGTCAAATAAGACAGCAAGGAGCATGCACTAGGGAAGTGTTAAATCCTTGAGGAATCGTGAGGAAAGGTGAATATTATCAAAAATTGTGTGCAAGATTCTGACAGGCATGGTTTTTAATGACAAAACTGAAAGACGGCTCTACCTAGAACTATATCAATGTCCAATATCTGATTTATAACCGTATAGCTGTTTATAGATGCTAAAAGTCATAAATTATAACATGGCCATATACTTGTACATATTCTTAATTATATTTTAGTATATTCTCATTATGTTAGTATCAGATATTAAAGTAAACAAAAAGCAAAGTCTTAGCATTTTAAAATTCTGGTTTCTTTACTCAGATGTGATTTAGTGGTAAGAGCACTGGCTACTCTTAGAAATGGCCAGATTTGGGTTTCCAGCATCACATGGTGGCTCACAATGATCTGTCCAGAACCAGGGAATCCAATGCCTTCTTATGACCCTCACGGTACCAGCCACATGTGCAGTACGCTTACACACATGCAGGAAAAAATTAATAAATTTTTTCAAATAAATTATTTTCCTTATGTCATGGCTCTTTCCATTATAGCATATGTTGATTAACCTCTATAATCATTTCCCAACTTCTAGTTTTGGCTCTTACATTTTGTATGATAAGCAATGATATCCTGTGAAATCGGGGCTTCTGGATGGCAATATGGAGCAGAACCCTCTATGACCCATTTTGTTTTTAGGGTGAAGGAGAGCACAAAGTTGAGTGGTGAGACATTGATTTATTTTTTATTTAATTTATTCACTTATCAATTTACTTCAGCTCTAAGGAAATAGTTTTAAAAACAACGTTGAAAATACACTCAAGAGGAACTGCTGATATACACTTCTGAAAAGGCAGAAAATGTGCTTTCCTTTTACACAAAATGTTAAATCTGTATTAGCAGCAAATTTTATACACAGAAATAAAGATGGCTTCGAAACTCCAGATTTGTGTAAAGATAAAACACATCCTTCCTTTTCTTAGGAAATCCAGAGCAGCCCCGTTCACTCTGGAAGGCTTCTTCCCACTATGGTTGTCCGCAGTTGGCAGCTCCGCATCCGCCTTGGGCTCTCAGCCCTGCCTTAGTCCAACACCAGGTCAGAAAGCACGATCAGGTCCTTCAGGGATGGCAGAACTGCCAGGATCTCGTAAGTCTTCAGATTTTGCTCAGAGTCAGGGAAGATCTTCAGCAGGGTCTCCCTCAGCTCACTGGTCTCTGCAGAAGGTCTCTGTGCTGGCATGAGATGCTTCTGCTGTATACCAGAAACAGAGATCAGGGTTGTGAAGTGGGGCTGCTGAGGAAGCCAAGGGCATAAAGAGGTCCCCTGGTTCCGATATGTAGGCTGGTACCTGGCAATGGCGACTTGGGTGTTTTGATTCCAGGCGAACATGTTCACATTTGGCAGGGCCCTGAGTAGAGGCTGCATGTCTCCAGAAAGCCCTCCTTTCTAAGGAAATCTTCTAGCCAAGGCCCGTTTCTTCCCAGAGGGTCATCGGGAACCATAAATATGTCCCCCACGAACGTGTACTGAAGCAATCTTTTGGCAATAATTTCTCTCCAGGACACTGACTCATTCACAAACTCTCTGAAGTTATAATTGCTTACAATGACACCCCCAGTCTTTTCTGCTAAGCGTAGTATGAATCTGTCAGCACGAGAATAAATTCGTTCTCCAAAGACCGTCCTGGAAGGAGTTAATGCTAGTATTCCAAGCTCCTGGAGCTGGGTCAAGAAGTCCTGTTCTGTGGCAACAGGACTGGGCCATGTTAACGACTGCGGCACAAACACAGTGATGTTCCTGTGTCCAAGCTCCCAAAAATATTCAACGGCGATTGCTATTCCACGGCAACTAAGGAACTTGTTCAGACCATGGCTTAATGCGACATTACATCCATCTATAACAATATGCTTTAAATCTGTTCTGCCGGGTTTATTTATTAATTCCAGCTTATATGGTATTTTCAGCATCTCTCTAAATCTCTTAGTCCCTGTAATGAGAGAATCGCTATGATCATCAGAGGCTCCTGTGAATCCTGCATCAGTATCTGAAGGTAAGAGCTGGGGCATTGGCAACGGTGGAGAATGCTGGGAATAATGTGGTTTAGGCTGAGTGGAGCTGTAGCGGCCAGAAGGTTTCTCACAGGCAGCTTGCACGTTACTGGGAAGTGAGGGTTCAGCTTGCTGTTGCAAGATATCTTCAGGAGAAGCTGGGCCTCTCTGGTAGCCTGTCTCTCCCCTCGAAATGAAGCTGTCTTCAGGACTGGAAGAGGCAGGAGTCAGTGAGAAGGCATCGCTCTCTCGTTCCCTATCACCGCTGTCCTTCTCGTTTGAGCCCCACATTTCAGGTTTCTGTTCCGTGTTGGAGGTATTTGTTTCAGAGTCTGTAAATGGAAACTGGGAATATATTTCTTCCATATTTTGCTCTGTGCGACTCTGTGTGTTCTTGGAAGTGGAATCTCCTGTGAGGTCATTTGTGCTGCCCGCAACACCTGCACTTCTGCTCTGAGCAGCGTCTGGACACACGGGGCAAGGGGCACAAGCACTGTGTCCTTGGAGCCTTTGGTTCTCTTTCTCAATTTCCTCCGGGAGCAATAATGGCTGTGTAGAAGGCCCATCCTTCCCGATGACGACTTCCTCAACAAACTCTTTGGAATGCTCCATGTTACTAAAGAATTTTACAGCGATGGTTTACTTCGTTTCTTCTGTGCAGACTCTGATATTTTGTAAATGTTCTGCACCAACTTGAGTTCCGGTATCAAGTTGATTTGCCTGCACAAGTGAAAAAGAACAGGAATGGCGTCACATTTAACCAGTTCAGCTCATAATTGACCCTTGTCAGTCAATAAAAATCAATTGGCCAGAACTAGTTCACAATGTTGCTAATGACATGATTGTAAGAGAGAACTGGCAGCATTGATTATACTCAGTGTGTTATGGAAAGCACAAAAGAACATGATGTTTGTACAGGATGAGATAGGCAATCAGTCTGGCAAGTGATGGAGGTCTGAGGAAAGGTTGATGAGATCAAATACATCGTTTATATGTATAAAATTACCATAGAAGGAATGAAAAAGCAAAAAGGGAGAACTTAGAAATGGAGTCCGGTAGGTGATGAGCACACTGTTTCTGTAATAGACAGGAAATGCAGTGTCCTTTAGCAAAAACACACAAACAAAAAACAAAGCAGAGTGAAAAGCAAAGGCTGGCAAGGCCGGGTAAGTGCATCAGGATGGCACAGCTTCCCAGATTCATATCAGTGATTCACAAGCACACCGGTGATCTGCCTCCTTAGACTCTTGTCAGTCTCTGCCATCGGCTACTATTCCTGTCATCTCTCTCTGTTCCATCCCCATTCTTTCTAGACCCCAAATGTAGGCTTTTACCATTTCTCTCCTTCTAGTCATGATTACTTTTTAAAATTATATTTGTTTCATGAAATATTATACACTCTTCATAATTTAAGAAAGATAGGAAGTAATCCTTACACAAGCCAGATGGAAGAGTAGGTCCTCTGACATCTGAATTCCACAAATATACATACTTTGAATATAGTACCATCTTAGTATGCCTCCATGCTGTGCTGATAAAATGCTGACCTAAAGCAACTTATGGAAGAAAAGGCTTCCTTATGTCAGTTTACAGATTAAAGTCTATCATGAAGGGAAGCCATAGCAGAAAGTCAACACAGGAATCTGGAGAAGAAACTGAAAACAAAGGGTGTATGTAGAGCAATGCTGAAGATCCAGAAGGCAAGGCAGCCAGCTCACCACTAGCTCGTACCTCAACCTCAGTCTGAAATGGCGATCCTGCCTCCAGGAACCTCAGCATGAGGCTGTGTGTGGAGAACTGTTTCCTCCCAATTTATATTCCTCTCTAGGGCTGGGATTAAAAGAGGGTACCACCATATTTTGTGGAAATTACTATGGCAACTGAAATTAAAAGGTGTCTGTCATTGTGTTACTGGGATTAAAAGGTGTGTGTTACCATAATCTGGTCTGGAAGGCTGACCATTGGGATCATTTTACTCTCAGCAGAGATAGGGAAGAGAAGGATACTAAATAGTCATCAAAAGAAACTTTCACCAAGATATTTCAACTCTTAACATCTCTACCTCAAACCCAAGGGAAGCCATATTTGTAAGCTTAAACCCTCACACACTGATCTTGGGAACCATCAATACCCCTCTCCCACCATGAACAATCATACAGACATAAATCGGTAGTACCATAGATAGATAGATAGATAGATAGATAGATAGATAGATGATATCGACAACAGAAACAAGAAAAAGCTTCCAAACTCATGGAACTTTGAACATGGAACTCTACTGAATGAAAAAGGCGTCAAGGCAGAAATAAAATTAAAAAATGAAGACTTTCTAAAATTGAAGGTAAAAGAACAACCAAGCAGTAGGACACATTATAAGTGGTTCTAAGAGGTTACAAGTTCACAGCACTAAGTGCCTTCAAAGAACTTGAGAGATGTCATACTAACAATTTTGACATAATAACTGAAAGTTCTAGAACAAAAAGAAGAAATCACATTCAAAACAATTAGATGGCAAGAAATGATCAAATTCAAGTCTGAAATCAACAAACCAGAAACAAAGAGAACAATATAGCCAATGAAACAAAGATTTGGATCTTTGTGATGATCAAAAATGTAGGCAAACCCTTATTTAAATTAATTCATGAGAGAGAGAATATCCACATTAACGCATTCAGAAATTAAAAGAGGCATATAACGGGCACAGAGGAAATCCAGAGAAGAGCGAGAGGTCATACTTTAAAAACCTGTACTCCCTCAGTTTTGAAAAATCAAAAAGAAAGGGGAAGCACAACTAGTAAAAACTCTGGGTCAAAAATTGGGGTTCAATGAAAAGATTCAAAAAGCAAAACAGCCAGCCAGCAACTGGCTCTTACCTCGACCTCAGTCTGAAATGGTGATCCTGCCTTCAGGAACCTCAGCATGAGACTGTGTGTTGAAAGCTGTTTCCTCTCTAGGGCTAGTAAAAAAGGCATGTACTACAGTAATTAAAGGTGTGGACCACCCGACTTTTATGCAAACTAGTGTAGCTGCAGGGATTAAAGGTGTGTATCATTGGTTTACTGGGATTAAAGGTCTGTGTTTCCATAATCTTGTCTGGAAAGATGACCAGTGGGATCGTTTTACTCTCATAAAAGATGTGAATTGATACTACATAATCATTGAAAGAATTTTTACCAAGATGACATTTCAATTCTTAACATCTATGCCTCAAACAAAAGGGATCCCATATTTGTAAGAGTATCACTACCGAGTTTCAATTACAATGTGACCACCAAATGCTGATAGTGGTGAACATCGATACTCCTCTCACCAATAAACGACAATCCAGATATAAATGAATATATATATAAATGGATAGATATACATAAACATAGATAGATAGCAACTAATTCAGCAACTAATTCAGGAAAATTAGACAGCTCTCTACTTTATGAAAAAAATGACTGAAGACAGAAATAAAATAAAATTGAAGACTTTCTAAAATTGAAGGTAAATGAATAACAAAACAATGGGACACATTAAAAGTGGTTCTGAGATTTTACAGGTTCATAACACTAAGTGCCTACATAGGCCTGGAGAGATCTCATACTAATAACTTACAGAACAAGTGAAATTTCTAGAACAAAACACATTCAAAAGTAGTAATTGTCAAGAAATATCAAATCCAATCTGGAATCAACAAAATAGAAATAAAGAGAACAGTACAGTAAGTGAAACAAAGATTTGGTTCGTTGAGACCATCATCAAGGTAGGCAAACCCTTATCTAAATAAACTCATGAGCCGGGCGGTGGTGGCGCACGCCTGTAATCCCAGCACTCGGGAGGCAGAGGCAGGCGGATCACTGTGAGTTCGAGACCAGCCTGGTCTACAGAGCTAGTTCCAGGACAGGCTCCAAAACCACAGAGAAACCTTGTCTCGAAAAAACCAAAAATAAAAAAAAAAACTAAATTAACTCATGAGAGAGAATATCCACATTAACACAATCAGAAATTAAAAGGGGTATATAACAGACACGAAGGAAATCCAGAGGACAAAGTCAAGAGGGCATACCTTAAAAACCTTTACTCTCTCAATGTTGATAATCAAAAAGAAAGGTGAAGCACAATTAATAAAAACACCAGGTCAAAACTGGGGTTCAGCCAAAGATCCAAAAATGCAAAGCATCCAGCCAGCCACTGACTCTTACCTCGACCACAGTCTGAAATGGTGATCCTGCCTTTAGGAACCTTAGCAAAAGACTGTGTGTTAGAGCTGTTTCCTCCTATCTTATATACCTCTCTAGGGCTGGGATTAAAGGTGTTCACCATTTCGATAAAAGGCATGTACCACCTGGTTTCTATGCCAACTAGTTATTGTTAATGTCATTATGACTACTGGGATTAAAGGTGGGTGTCATTGTGGTACCTGATTTAAATGTGTGTGTTTACCATAACCTGGTCTGTAAGATGGCCAGTGGGGACTGTTTTACTCTCAGATTTTTAGGTAGCCTTTATTTTTTAAAATAAAATATAAATACCACTAGGCAAATGGATTTTCTATAGATACAACTTAATAAAGATAATCATGATCAGGTAAGCAATTTACATGGTCATATTAACCCTTGTGAAACAGGTGTAGTCATTAAATCTCCCAACAAAAAAAAAAAAAGAAAAGAAAATAAGGAAGAAAAAAGAAAACCAGGACAGCACAGAATTCTGAGTTTCATGGAAGAGTTAGCAAAAATAAAATTACCCTACAAAATAGAAACAGTTTTAATTTTCATAAATATAGCTCATTTTGTTTGAAGAGGTCACAGTTACCCTAATACCCAAACCACATAAAGACCCCCCAGGAAAGAATTATAAAGAATTATAGATATGTTTACTCTATGAACATAGTTGCAAAATTTCTCAACAAAATATTTTCTAACTGAATCTAAAAACACATCAAGAAGACCATCCATTATTATCAAACACTCTTCATGTCAGGGACTCAGGGATGGTTCAATATAAGAAAATCAGTAAATACAACAACCTGAAAGAAAAAACCACATGATTGTCTCTAGATGCAGAAAAGGCTTTTAACAAAATCCAACATATCGTCATGATAAAAGTCTTGAAGAGATTAGAGATAAGAGATATACCTCAACATAATAGAGGCAGTCTACTGCAAGCCCATAGCTAAAATCAAATTAAATCAAGAGAGCATTTAAGAAAAGCAATTGGTGAACCTAAAGAAGCTAAATAAGAAGGTGAACCCAAGGAAAAACATAGTTATTCTCTTGGCTATGAGAAGTAGAAAAAATTGCCGGGGAGAAAATTGGGATCTTGGGGGTGGGGTGGGATGGGGATAAGGGGAGATGGGGACAGAAAAGTGAGAAGGGGAGGATGAGGGGAACTTGGGGAAACAGGATGATTGGGATATAGGAAGGTTGGATAGGGGAGCACGTAAGCACAATTCTTAGTTAAGGGAGCCACCTTAGGGTTGGCAAGAGACTTGAACCTAGAGTGGCTCCCAGGAGCCCAAGCCGAGGTCCCCAGTTAGTTCCTTGGGCAGCTGAGGATAGGGAACCGGAAATGACCCTAGCCTATAGCAATACTGATGAATATCTTGCATATCACCATAGAACCTT